GATGTTTGTAGCATAAACTTTCATAAACTGAGGTCCAAAACAACACTGTAGAAATAATCCAGTTTGAGACCGCTTTAACCGCCATGGCCCAATGCTAGGAATTCTGGGAAATGTAGTTTTGTGAGACCTTTAGCCTTCTCTGACAGAGAGCTCTGGTGCCAACATAAACTTCAATTCCCAGGATTCCCTAGCACTGAGTCTGGGCAGTTAAAGTACTCTAGTCTGAAACTGGATTATTTCTGCAGTGCATTTTGGACCTGAGTCTATTCATCAAAAGTGGCTATGGGCATTTATGCCCATGAATGCACTGGTGTTTATATGTGTGTGTGTGTGTGTGTGTGTGTGCACATAGTAATAGGAATGCAAAACTTGTGGGTATGGTGATGAAGTGATAAGTTAAGGATGGTCACTGTGGGACAAAGATGGGCAGGAAAATATTGGCTAAAGCTAAGATGAGTAGATAACCATACGAATGGTGGAGAGTGTTCTGGAAATGTAGTATGATGCTGGCTGGGAACCAGAAATGTGATCAAATGATCAACAGAGGCCTTTTGTGGCTGCAGTGTTAACTAGTGTTATAATATCAGTAGTGTGCCAGGAAACTGCCTCCATTCAATCCACTCATTGTTGATTGACTGGAGTATATGGATATATCCCAATCCTGCTGTTTCTTACTCACAAACCCCATTCCATTGGCAGTGGGTTGGCTTTTTCTTTCACCAATCTCATTTTTTTTAATGATTTCCATTTTGGTTGCCAATTTTGTAGATATGTGCTTCTTTAAGAAAATGGGAATAGCTAGTGAGACAGGCTTATATGCTTTCTGCTCTACCTCTGTTTTACTCTCACACAGGCTCAAGGGAGTCTTGAGGCAGCTGCTGTTTGCCTTGCCTGTTCTAGGCAGGAAAACCCAGCAACAGTGGGATCAGTGACAGTACAATTCTGTTCTTGCCCTGCTTAAGCTTTATTGCATTGTTTTGTGCAGAGACGAATGTCTACATTTCTCCAGCCCTCCGTCTCCATTTCCCATGGCTGATGCTGTGGAAAAAAACTTCCAGCTAGACAGCAGGAAAGAGGGGCTGGATAAGTCTTTATAAAATGGAGTTTCTTTGTCAGAGGCGTTGTTAACTGAGCTATGCCTGTAGATAGAGTCAAGTCAGGCAGTTAACAGCCTTTACAATGCTTCTAAGTGTCTTGGAAATGTAAGCGTAATTAGGTCTTTCCTGGAATCCTTTTATTCTCTCTGTAGCCTCTATAGACAGCAACCATGCCTGGGTAGACTCCAGTAACTAATGAGTTGAGGAATTAAAACCCTAAACTCTTTGAGTCTGATCTTATTCCATTCTGAGCTCCAGCATCAAGATATTTTTCTTTCTTAAAAAGCCAATAAAGACAAATGCTGTGGGGAGGAAAAAAAATCCCAGTCCTTGGATAAATTGCTTTTTGAATGACAACATGCTGAATCCTCTTGACCAGATGGCTACAGTAACTTTTCCAACCTGGGGTGGAGGGAGTGGGGAGAGAAAACTTAAAGCAACATGTGACAAAAGCAGCTGACCTAGACCTAGAATCAGTTCAAACCCTTGCAGTTTTGCCAGACAAGAAGTAGGATAGGGAAAAAATCCAAAGGACCCATGTTAATCCATGGAAAGGGATTATAACACTCAAAAATGAATACTGTTTTTATTACAATGGTTCAACTGGCCATCCATTGGCCATCCTGGAAGGGCTTTTTGGTGGCTGAAATTCAACAACTTCCATTGATTCCCAAACTTGGATCGTCCAGGCCTTTTGAACTTCACCTCCCAGAAGCTTCGGCCATCGTGGCCAGTGGTTTGGCATTCTGGGAGTTAAAGTCCAAAATACCTAGAAGGCCAGAATTTGGGAATCACTGAGTCAAATTAGGGGACCTGTGACTGTATAAGGGCCAACTCAAGTGTCAAAACGCATGCAAAGGAACAGGGCAATAGCTCAAAATAATGTTAATTATAATACACCACAAAACCGGGGGGGCCATTCAAGTAAGAAGGGATTGTTATCATGCTTTGTGGACTTGTGAGAAAGCTAAAAAAGGATACAAATATGTAACATTGTTGCAGAAGATATATGGACACACAGTTAGAAAAAGACCATGGAAGGTTATTACAATATATGGTTACTGCAACAAAGTTGGTATATACACAAAAATGAAAAAATGCAGCAATGCAATACCAACTATGGATGAGCAGAAGGTAAAGTGCATGGGCTTAATGGAGATGGATAAGCTCACAGTTTTAATTTGAGGTGGACCAATAAGAAGATTTTTGCATGAGTGGAAACCCCTTATGGACTTCATCAGAAAAGATAAAGATGATTTTTAGTTGTGGGATTTGAATATTTTCAGTTTAGAATATTTGTGATCGAAAGCAGAGGGGTATTGATATGCAGATTGGAACTATGCCCTCCTTTTTCTTTTTTTATGGAAACCTATTTGATCATTTTAGTCAAAGAAAAACTCCCCCCCCCCTTTCCAGTTGAACTGTTTAATTGTATTTAAAAATAATAATAATAAATGTCATTTAAAAATCCAGGGGCCCATTTACACAATGGAATTATAATGCTTTGTTGCTGTTGTTGTGTGTTTTCAAGTCATTTCCGACTTATAGTGACCCTAAGGAGAAACTATCATAGGGTTTTCTTGGCAAGATTGGTTCAGTGGAGGTTTGCCATTGCCTTCCCCTGAAGCTGAGAGCATGTGACTTGCTCAAGGTCACCCAGTAGGTTTTATGACCAAGCTGGGAACTGAACCCTGGTTTTATGACCAAGCTAGGAATTTATCCCTGATCTTCAGAGTTGTAGTCTAACACTCAAAACATTACACCAGGGGTAGGCAACCTTTTTGAGCCGAGGGCCGGGTTGCTGTCCCTCAGACAATTGGGGGGGCCGAAGCACCATAAATAAATAAATAAAAATAAAAAAAATTAAAAAATACATATGCATGAACACTCTCTCAGTCCCAGAAAAGCCATGGCAAAACCCCTGTGGAGATTTTGCCAAGAAAACCCCAAGAAAAAATAATAACAACAATAATCAATATCATCATGGCAGGCGGCGGTGGCAGCAGCAGGACCAGCCTGGGGCCGGTCCAAAGGCCTCGGGGGGGGGCACATCTGGCCCCCGGGCCATAGGCTGCCTACCTCTGCATTACACCATGATGACTCTCATTATGATTCCACATTAACTTCCCTGGTTCAGCCCTGGGATTTGGAGTTCAAGGAGGAGCCTTTAGAGTTCTCAGCCAGAGAGGTCCTCTGGTGCCTCTGACAAAACTACAAGCCCCACGATTTCATAGGATACAGCCATGGTTAAAGTGGAATCATAATGCTACACTATGCATCATGATAAGGTCCCTGATCATGATGCAGAGTCCAGGGTGGTGGTGTGAATCACATAAATCTCATAAGCAAAGCAGACTACATGGCAATTCCCTGCCCCATGAATCCTCTGCCTGGTCACATTCCAGCTCTATATGAGCCAAGGGCTAATAGTCAGAATGCATATACTGCAGTAACCTTGCTGAAGCCAAGCAAGTCTAAGTCCACTCAGTGTGGGGTGGCCATCAGGTTAAATACAGGGCTCCTGTTCCTTTAATATTTTAGTTGAACCTTGACCAACAAGATTTACTAAAAAAATTTATTAGAAGGAACAATGGCACTTCTTCCCCTCACCTCAGGCACATCTTTTAGCTTATGCAGCCCCCCCCCATACACAACTATTTATTGAAATGGTGGTGGTGGTGGGGAAGCATCAGTGGAGAAGTGTCTTGCAGACTTCCTGTAGGTGGTTCCACAGGAATGGACATCTTCTGTGTTGTAGTTGTTGTGTGCCTTCAAGTTGTTCCCAGCTTATGTCAACCCTAAGGGGAATCTATTATGGGGTTTTCTTGACAAGATTTGTTCAGAGGAGGCAAGATTTGCCATTGCCTTCCCCTGAAGCTGAGAGCATGTGACCTACAGTAATTTCAGTAGGTGTCTGATACTAACATTTTCATGCCTTTTGGAGTCTGAGAGTTGTTGTTGTTGTTGTTAACTTGAGTTTCCCATGAGGTTAGTTTTCCTCTTCCTCTCCTAATTTCCTTGACTCATTAGTCTGGAAACAGATCATGGCTTCTTTGGAGTTAGGTTATGGTCTCCAGAAGCTGTAGATACCTCCTTGTCCATAGTATAAAAGTGGGGAACATGTGGCCCTCCAAATATTACTAGGCCAAAACTTCCATAATCTCCCCAGGGGTGTAGCTATGGAGTGTGGAGGCATCCCCCTCACTCTACGAATTCTCCCCCATGGAATTTTCCTTCAAATTTCTCACATAGAAGTAAGTTAAAACTTTAGTGGAGCATTTAGCAATACAATTTAGGCATTCAAGGAAAAGTAACAGGCAAAGTTACCAGGAAATGTTCTCTAGCGGTTAAACATTTTCAATGTCTTGCTCTCTGCAACGCTAGAAATTTGGGGGTTGAAGGAAAATTTCATTTGCTGGGGCAGAATTCTTATTTGGGCAATTCCCTCATTTCATTCCCCCAGCCCTACATTGCAGGGGTGTGTGTTGGAATATCACAGGTAAATGTCACATGAGTGTTTCCCTTCCAGTTTATATTCTCCCACCTTGGTCGTGAAATTCATTGGGTGACCTTTGGCAGGTCACATGCTCTCAGCCTCAGGGGAAGGCAATGGCAAGCTTTCTCTGACCAATTCTTGCCAAGCAAAACCCCATGACAGGTTTGCTTTAAGGTCACTGTTAGTCAGAAATGACTTAAAGGCACACAGCAACAACCATTGATGTGTTGATTTTGTGGAAAATACTCAAGAAAATGTGATCAGATATTGTTGTTGATCAGATCAAATTCTTGTTGTGTACCTTTAGGTAATTTCTGACTTGTGGTGACCCTAAGGCGAACCTATCACAGGATTTTCAGGGGCTGAGATTGTGTGACTTACCCAAGGTCACCCAGTGGATTTCCAAGGTCGAATGGGGAATCAAACCCTGATCTCCAGAGTCATAGTCGAATGCTCAAACCACTGCACCACACTGGCTGGTTTATTTGCACCCAAACACACAGGTGTGGTGCTCATGTGAAAGGCCCAGTTCTAGGGTTTCTTAAAAAAATATATGCATCTGAGGAAGTAGACTTTAATCTACGAAAACTCATGCTGCCAACTTCTTTCAGTTAGTCTCAAAGGTGCTACAAGATCTCTCTACTTAAAAAAAACACACCAAACAGTTAAATGCCCAGAACAACTTAACCCCCCCCCCCAGATATTTTAGCTTTGCTTCATTAAAATAACTATTTCTTTTTTATTCTGATCACCCACTTGGGCCTATATCCCCTTAGGCTAGTTAAGATGATTACAAAGGTGTTGCAAATTTGCTTTCCAAAGTTTCCTTGTTAGTGTGTTGTTTGCTTTGTTGTCATAATTATCTGCCAGAAGAGTCAATTCCCTCAGGAAATCTGATCAAAAATTAGATTTATTAGAGAAATAAGTCCTTTTGGGACTCATTAAGGTAGATTCTCTTGTGATCCCAGAATGGGTCAATTGAACCTTGAGTTTTGTGGAAATTCTGCATGAAACTAAAATCTGCTTGTATGTGAATATGTTTATGACAGGACCCAATAAGTGAAGAATAACAATCCCTGGCTTTGAAACACAAACACACACACACACACTTGTAAGTATTCAGAGAGATCTTGTAGCACCTTTGAGACTAACTGAAAGACGTTGGTAGCATGAGCTTTTGTAGACTTGGGCTTACTTCCTTGATCCAACTAGGCGCAAGTACACAAAAGCTCATGCTACCAGCTCTTTTCTTTCAATTACTCTCAAAGGTGATACATGATCCCTTTTCATACTGATTTTCCAGACTAACATGGCTATTTGTCTTTGAATTCTGCACACTTGTAAAGTTTACTCCAAGATACTGGATATATAGAAATCTTGACCAATAGCCTTCAAAGCCATCAAACAAAACATTCGAAATTTGAATTTTGTCACAGCAAGATATTTCATAGTAAAAGCCTACTGCTTTTGTAGCTAGGGCAAAGTAGAATGATGGTTTCTATGTCAGGGGTCATGACAAATCCACTCTGGGTTCTATCCCAGGATGCATCTATACTGTAGAATAATGCAGTTTGACACCACTTTAACTGTCATTGCCCCATCCTGCAGAATCCTGGGATTTGTAGTTTGGTGAGGCACCAGCACTCTTTGGCAAAGAACACTAAAGACCTTATAAAAAAAACCCTGGATTCTATAGATAGGATGCAGCAACATCATTGAAAGGGGTATCAAACTCCATTTAAGTCTAGAGCAGGGGTAGGCAACCTAAGGCCCGGGGGCCGGATGCGGCCCCCTAAGGCCTCTGGACCGGCCCCAGGCCGGTCCTGCCACCGCCGCCCCCCTGCCATTGCCGCTGCCGCCCCCCGCCATGATGATATTGATTATTGTTGTTTTTATTTGTTCTTGGGGTTTTCTTGGCAAAATCTTCACAGGAGTTTTGCCATGGCTTTTCTGGGGCTGAGAGAGTGTGCATGCATATATTTTTTTAAAAAATTATTTTTTCTAATGTTTTAAAATATTTATTTATTTATTTATTATTGGTGCTTTGGCCCCCCCAATTGTCTAAGGGACAGCAACCCGACCCACAGCTCAAAAAGGTTGCCTACCCCTGGTCTAGAGTGTAGATTCACTCCCAAAATTTAACAGCTATCCAGGGTTCTGAAGCCAAATAGCCTGGAATAAAACCCAGAAGGAAATGCCTGCCTGCCTGAAAGAGAAACCACTGAGGGTATATGGGAATGTACATTCAGACTTACATAGGCACACCCACTCTCCCTTGCACTGAGTTTGTTTTGTTGTTGTTATTGTGTACCTTCATGTGGTTTCCGATTTACGCTGACGATAAGGCGACCTCGTTATGGTGTTTTCTTGGCAGGCTTCTTCAGAAGAGGTTTGCCATTGCCATCCTGTGAGGATGAGAGAGTGTGACTTGCCCAGGGTCTCTCAGTGGGTTTCCATGGCTGAGCTGGGAATCAAATCCTGGTCTCCAGAAGTCCTACTCCAATGCTCAAACCACTACACCATGCTGGCTATGCTACCAGAGATCAGTTTTGGACACTTTCAATAAATCAGGGCATTCTTAAAGCAGAGGAAAAGTAGTATTGGCAAACTATCATTCAGATCTGATTTTTTTTTTAATTCTGTTCTCTTTGTGGGGCCAAGATAGTAGACTCCTCTGGGTACAGCCAAGAGTAGCAGGAGCAAGGCCAAGTATTTGTAGGTCAACAAAGCCCATAATTTTTTGAGGGGAAAATTGTGGAGCCCAGCAGTTTGTGATAGGAGCACAAGGGCAGGTGGTGCCTTCCAAGTCATCATCATGGTGGAATCCACTCTACGTTTCAGACAAACAGGTTAGCATCTTGGACAGCTGCTATAAAAATTGGATTGAATCCTACCACTCCATTGATATGCAAGTATATGCCTCCATTGATGGCATGATAAATCTGACATTCTTCCAGGCCAGAGTAGGACCCAGCAATAGTGTTGTTGTTGTTATTGTTGTTGCTGTGTATCTTCAGGTTGTTTTCGATTTATGGTGACCCTAAGGCAAACTGATCATGGGTTTTCTTGGTAAGAGTTGTTCAGAGAAGGTTTGCCATTGCCTTCCCCTGAGCTGGGAGCACGTCACTTGCCCAAGGTAGAGCTAGGGAAACAGGAGCAATAAATGATTCATTTGGGGTAGACAGTTTTACCCTTTGCTTTTTAGCAGCAAACCTGCAGGCAAGCAACCATAGTAGGCAATAATAATAATAATAATAATAATAATAATAATAATAATAATAATAATAATAATTTATATCCTGCCTCTCTGTAAAATGCAACTGGGGTGGCTTACATGATAAAAACAAATAGTCCAGTCCCCCAGTAGCCCACCCCCCTTAAAATACAATTAAACAATTGAAATTTAAAACATACTTTAAAATAACAGGTTACAATAAATGACAAATAAATTAGATTAAACTAACTGTAACAGAAAACAGGGACAGGCATAATTTTGCAACTTTGCATACAAGTAATGGCAGACATGAGTACCAGGAGGGCTGGGATCTGGAATGGAGAGAGTCTAGCCCAGGAGGATATAGGTATAATGTAAGACGCTTATGTGCCAAAGCTCTGTATAGGAGACCAATATCTGCAATTTAGGCATACTAGTTTGTAAGACTGGATTCACCTTTGCAGATGCTGCATTGCTGCTGTTTCTTGGAAGAATCCCAAGATTCTTCTTTTTCTGTGTTGATTCTTATGCTGGTGCCTGACAAAACTACAAATCCCAGGATTCTGTAGAATTGAGCCCTGGCAGCTAAAGTGGTATAAAGTGGTAAAGTGCATTATTTCTATAGTGTAGATGCACCCTGAATGAGGAAGTCTCAGATGCCAGAATACTTTTTTTTTTGTTGTGTGCCTTTAGGTCCTTTCTGATTTACAGCGACCCTAAGGGGAACCTATCATTTTTTTTTTGCAGGTTTCTTCAGAGGGGGTTTGTCATGGTCATTCTCTGAGGCTGAGACAGTGTGACTTATCCAAGGTCACCCAATGGGTTTATATGGCTGAGTGAGGATTCCAACCCTGTTCTCCAGAGTCCTAGTCTAGCAATTCAAACCAGTAAATCTGCTACACAGCCAGCTGATCCCTAAATACCCAGCTCTATGGGATGGGTGGCCTCGAAAAATCACCGGTGCCCATCCCTCAGGACATGGCTCTGAGGACCTTCCTAATGGACATATAGGGAGCAGTAGTGTTTGTAATAGGGCTGCTGTCTGTAACAGTGGGAGCACTGGGATATAATGGTTATGCCTTCCTCCCGCTTTGTGGTGTCAACACTGTGACTGCTTCTGTCTTCTTCTTGGAAGGTGGCACTGCTGCTGTATTCTGCTTCTTCTCTTTCTAGGGTGGTGCGGTGGATGGGCATCATCACTAGCAAGTACTTCTCCTCTAGAGATGGGGAAACTTTTGTCTTCTTTCCCTGTGGCTGGTCATGTCCATCTCCTTCCCCTTTTTCTTGTATTGGAAGGTGCACCACCTCTGGCTTGTTCTCTGGTACAGTGGGGATGTAGCTTTCTTTCTGGGGTGGCTGAGGGTGGGCATTGTCACTATCACATCCTCCTCCTGTAGTAAATGAGCATTGGAGGCACCAAATGAAGTGGAAATGAAATGATTTGCTTCCTACCTCAGATGCTGAAACACTTTGGACTGTTTCCAAACCATGGTAGTGTCCTTTTATACTCTAGCCTTCATTGCCTGACTTGTGACATATGTTCCAAGTGAGCCTCTACTATTGTGGCTTTGAGAAGCATTAGGAAGAAATCTTTCTAACTTCCAACTGTCTTTTTACCATTTCCCTTATTTTACAAGTCACTATGCTGTAGTTTCCTGACATTCTCCCACTTGCGTATATATTACTTTTCACAGCACTATAGTCACTAATTCCAACTGGTTCAAGAAACATTTACATCTCACACTAGGGCTGGGTAAATCCATTTAAGATTAAACCCAGAATCACCTTTCCTTGGGTTAATTCATTTAACTTCTTTGCTCTTTCCTTGCCTTCCTTTTAAAACCAACTTTCAGTTTTCTGTGTTTTCTGCCAATATCAGAATTAGTTTTCTCTTTTTGATTCTTGGGAGGTATTGATGTGATTAGCAATAAGTTCCTCTAAACCTTTTTCTTTTCTTTTTTGCATATCTTATTGTTTGATTTTCCTTTATGCAAGTTTATATTCCTTTTTTGGTTTTTGTTTATTTTTATTTATATATAAAATTATAAGCACATTGAAACAAATCAAATCCTTATAAAATCTAAAAAATCTTGCTTCTTAAGTCATACCATCATTATTATTCCATGTTTAAGCAAGACTTTAATTTCTTGACTTAAGCTTCTCTTTTTGCATTTTTCACGTATGCAGTATAAATTTTAGAGGCTAAAATATAGATATTTCCAAACTGGGGTTTGGACTGCAACTTCCATTGTCCCTGACCAAG